CGTCCACAAAAAATATATTTAATCATTCAGATCAAGTTGCGTAATTTTAATTTTACCACTATTTTTTTTCAGTTTGTGTATATTAGTATTATTTTATGATTTTTTTTTAGATGTTTGATTTTTTTGATCACGATTTGTTTTTAGATTTAAATGAAAATTGCTGTATTTTTATTATATGAAATGCAAAAGGTATTGTTTGAGAATGATTAAAGGGATAGTTCACCTAAACATGAAAATTCTGTCATTTACTCAGCCTCATGTCGTTCCGAACCTGTATGAATTATTTCTTCTGTTGAACACAAAAGAAGATATTTTGAAGAATGTGGGTAACCAAACAGTTGACGGTAGCCATTGACTTACATAGTATTTTTTATTTTCCAAACTATGGAAGTGAATGTCTACGTCAAATATTTGGTTACCCACATTCTTCAAAATATCTTATTTTGTGCTCAACGGAAGAAACTCGTACAGGTTTGGAACAACTTGAAGGCGAGTAAATGATGACAGTATTTTTATTTTTTGGGTGACCTGTCACTTAAAATGAGCTGCAATAGACCTTTCAAGAATGTTCAGCTGTTTGCAATCTGCTGTTGTGTTTACTCTGTAAGTATATTTAATATTAGAGACTTAGATTACTTAATAAAATTGCTTTAAAAGTGTCTTTGTAATATTTTATATGAATGAAAGGCACACCTTCAAAGTTTACCAAATCACTGTGACTTATACCTGGTGCGATTTGTTGTTCTCTCCGACCTAATTGAGGTTTTGAAATTCAATATGTGGTGTGAGTCTCAAAGAGTGATGCAAAACAATAATGATGACTCATGCTTTGCCCTCAGCTGTGCTGCTGTGTTGCTATAGTGACGGATTCTCAACCTTATTGATTTCAACTGAATGAGTGACTGGTGTGTGAAGACAGCTAGTCATCACAGGCAGCCTGCGTCCTAAAGATGAAGTCATACTGTCAGAGGCATACATGAAGTGGGGGCCCCAGGCAAAATTAATCAGTGAGGCCCTTCTAAAATATATTTTTGTTTTGTTTGTTAATGTATCTTTGTTACCTAGTGATATAATTATACAACATATGAAATGTGGACAAAACACATCTAATAATGCACAAAACAAGACGCGCGCTCTCTCTCATTCGGATGTGCACGCTCAAACCTGTGCACTCAAATCTATAGAATTGCCTTCTCTCCTGGATTTAATGTTGCCAGAAGCCCATCAACCACCAGAATTCCATGACTGACTGATGAAATAACAGAGTAGGCTACCTTTCAATTGTAAAAAAATTTATTTATTTTTTTAGCATTTCCAGGCTGATTTTGGTCAGTGGATTCTCGTTATTTATTTTATTACTTAGCCTAATAGCTATTTGAATTAAGTGCCTATTCTGAATAGGTATTTACTGAATTATGTTATGTATATCAGCAAGTGAACGAGTTGCGGCGAAGTTTTGTTTAGTAGTGTAGGCTATTTGCAGTCTGTGCGTTTCTCTTCGCGAGACACGAATATCTTTTGTGTAGCCTGATGAATTCAAGCATAATATCGAACGGAGAAAAAAATATTTATAATTTTTAATTAATTAGGCTGTAAAAAATGGGAATGTTAAAATATTTAAGGCACAGTTGTTGCATGACAACCTAGCCCGTTATCATTTGCTCATGAAAACAATGATGAATAAAATGTTTTATATTTGGTTTGGAGTGGAATAGAGTGTGGGCAGAAACATAAATTGGTGCTATGCTTACCGTTGTCCTGTTTCCTCTTTTCCTCCTCTTTTTTTCCGCTTCAGGCTGCCTGATAGATTTGTCCTCCTCCTTATGTTTAACGTGCGTGTTTATGTGTGTGCGCGCGAACTTTTTTCAGTTCATTCCTAAATTGCGCAAGCTCAATTTCCATAGGAATGGATTAAAAACGCTCGAGTCCCGCGTTCTGCTCCGCTCCAGATCATGCATTTTCTAATCTACAGCACCGCAATCGTCATAGCTGCACCTGTTTGAAAAAGGCGGCCGAGGAGGCAAAAGCATAACCGGTGTATCGAGAGAGTGGGCTCCATAGGGGGGATGGAGAGATGTCGCTGCGTGTTATAGTTATTAATATTAACATTCCTGTTGATTTAAATGGTCGGCCATCGGGGGCCCCCTTAAAATGCGGGGCCCCAGGCATTTGCCTGCCTTGCCTGCCCCATTGCTACGCCTCTGCATACTGTGCTCTGTTAGCTCATTTTCATTCATGTGTGGACAAATATGCCAAACGTCCAGCGGATATTTTCCCACAGGGGCCTGATGGAGTGGAATCGTGAAATATAATACAGAATCGGGTCTTTGAAGTGAATGATATTGTGCATATTCTCTTAGCCTAGTTTGAACTGCATAGTAGCTGCATAATTCATTTCACAATTTATGTGCGATATAAATTCTGACAGGTTACGAGACCATTAATCAAATTGAAAAGACAATATCATAAATTGCTCCTACCTCCCTCTGCCTTAAAATCTTGCCTGCTGGTAATATAAAATCGTCATAGCAGCCAAGAGGCTAGTTATCCGCGACGGTGAGCTGGCGAATTAAGAAGCGTGTCATCGGCCGGTGCCGGTGTAAGAGGCTAACAACCACTTTAGCTCCTGCCAAAAGATTTTGGAAGATGTGTGGGTTGCTGTGGACGCTCAATTAGCGTGAGGTAATGTCAGTGTTAAAGGAAAGGAGGAGAAACTGTTCAAATGGGTTCAAACATCTATCGACAGTAACACCACAGATTTCCTCAGGGAAAAAAAAACACTTCAGATTCGGTCCTCAGATGGTTAAAAAAAAGAAATATTAATTTTGGAGTGTTTAAATTGTAAAAGCTTTAAAGCTTATGTTACTGATATAATTCATGTTTTTTTTTTTACTTTTATTATCCTAAAGCTTCCGCTAACAAAAACAGTCCAATGTACAAAACAATCAGTCTAGTAACAAGATGAAAACTGTAATATGACAGTAATATTAATAGAGTCAATAATCAGTCTCTGAGGTAATTTTCAATATAATCAATAACTGAGACGTAATAAGATAAGAATGAAATAATGTACTAAAAATGCGTGCGCGCATTCAAGTTTAACAGTGGAATTCATGATGAAAAACCATTTACCCATGACACCCATGTAGAATTTTCCTCCAATCAGAGAGTCGCAGCCAGCAAATCACGCCAAAGGAAGCTCCAACTTTCATCAACAACTTTAAATTAAAATATGATTACTATTTTTTTTTTAAACTTGTAATGTTGTGATTCACCTCGTAGCTGGTTGGTTTGAATCGTGGCTTATAATGTTTTATGGAAGACTTTTATAAAAATGGAAAAAATACTTCTGGAACCAACAGTGCTAAGTGTTGAAGAGCACTTTTGTTGCGATTGACCAATCAGAATCAAGTATTTCAGAACGTCAGATTAACACTATATGTTTTTAATCTGGTTTATTTATTGGGTTGAGATCAACCATGTCATCGCACTGCCATTTAGTTTAAATAATGTATTTTGGTCAACAGTCTGTCTGACAAGTGTATGAAATTAAAAAAATTAAACAATGAAGAGGCCCACGCAGAAAGAGTTTTCCAAATTTTGATGTTTTTTATTGATGATCACCAGGATGGTTCCCTTTACAGTAAATCAGCAGAAATCTACTTTTGCATTTAGCTTTTAAAGACAGAATGTTGAATATTGCACTAAAGAAGAAGAGAACTAAGATTCATACAGCGCCAAAGAACGAGGAAATATCACAGCATCTTCTCGACAACATCTTAGGGCAAACAGAAGCCAAGCCCAATATCAATATAATCAATAACTGAGACGTAATAAGATAAGAATGAAATAATGTACTAAAAATGCGAGTGCGCGGAGTGATACGAGAGACACAAAAGTAGCGCCGGTAAGTTTAATTGAATGAGCGTTACAATTTATTTTCTTCACAGGGAAATTGATTTTTAATGATAAGTTATAAACCTATAAATGTTGTGAGCTCTGATGTTGTTAATCAATGGTATATGCTTTTGTTGAAGCCACCTGTCCGCATTATTTAAATATAATACAGCGCCAAAGAACGAGGAAATATCACAGCATCTTCTCGACAACATCTTAGGGCAAACAGAAGCCAAGCCCAATAATATATACATATTTCAGTACCATAAAGACAATTAGCTTCAAATATACCTTCTTAAAATAGTTTTAATTCTGATTATTAAACAATTACATTCAGGAGTATAACTAATAAGGTCACATGCAAAGATGGATACGTATACATGACATGGCCAAATGAACCCATCACATCATGATGCATTTGATGTAGAATGAAATTGAACTAATAGAGATTCATAGAGGTACTTTAAGCAGTCTTTTTTATCTTTAGGAAAGTAGAATTACAATGACCATAGAACTTTCTTAAAAGAAAGCATTTCACATAAATTACCACGTCAGCTATTTTGATTTATGTACAGGTTATACCATTTGTTTTGATTTCTATTTTGGCTTTTTTTCATTGTAAAGGATCTATAGTGTATTCCATTCGCAGTGTGGTAGTTGTGAAACAGCCATCTGCAAACCAAAGGTTCTAAATCTTATTTTCAAGAGAGTTATGTATCTGTACTAAAATCAGCAACAGCTGAACATGTAATATTTTGTCATGAGTCACTCACGATCTTAGCCAGTTCTTTCGGTGACCCATTTTCTGAGGTTTACTGTTCCATGTGCATATTTTGCTAGTTCTTTTTTTGTTCAAGCAGCATCCAGCGAAGCAACTTTTACATTCAAAAATATGATTTAAAGTTAGTGCATTCATCTTTATCACAAAGCTAATTTTGTGTAAAGAAATCACAATAAAACCATATAGTACTTGTTACTAAGGCCAGGTATTTGAAATAAAACACTCACGTTTTCAAATATGAAAATATATCCACACCACATGATGTAGGCTACAGTACAGATTCAGCCCATTTTAACAATCCTTCTAGCAAAAAATAAAAGAATTTGGTCTCCGTGTGGGTTTGCGTACATTGTTGGAATTGGGTATGATTTTGTGAAGAATTCTGTGTCTATCTACTGTCTTTTTGAGGCCCTAGAGATAAGTTCTTAGGCTTTGACCACCACTGCTAACTTGTGCATTCTCAGCTAGTAAAAGTACACAAAGACCCAGTCACGCTGACCATCTCAAAGACAACTTCTCTGAGAGAACTTAAATCTATATTCAAATAACACAAAACTAAGTCTGCTGCAATGCATAATAACTTTTACATTAAAAAAAATCAAGATAGACTAAAAACGAACCACTCACTGTGAATATACTGGATTATGGTTAAGGATGCAGTGTTTCAGAGCTTGTTTTGGAACAGTATGAATGATGGCACTGCTGTCTTGAAAGCAAAGGTTATTTTAAGGACAAAACAATTGTGCATTTACCAGTGAGGCCTTGATGTTTTGATATTGAAGATACTGTTCACAATGTAACTGAAGATGTTGAGCCACTGTCAAATCAAGACTATTTCAGTTCCAAAGGCATTCTAAAGCCATTGACAGATTGCTAATGTTTTTCTTACCTTCAGTGCAAACAGAAACACTAATTGTTAGCTTGTTTTGTAATTGATATAACTTCGGGTTAGGTTGAATTCATATTTTTACTATTTGTAAAGATATAACCCATAAAAATGCCAATTAATGTACTGATACTAGCAACAAAAGTCAAAAATGTATCTTAAACTGTTCCTGTTCTAGTATTTTAAGTGTATTTGTTCTCAATAACTGACCTCCCTAGAATTTAATTTAGATAATAACTAGCTAAAGTTGTTCTTGACCACTTCGTCAGACCAAAAAACAAATGTTGATTAGTCATTTTAATTGAAATTTTTATATTTGTTTTTTTCCCCCAAATAAATTTAAATATTACTTATTCACATGAAGCCTACCTACCAAACTGACTGCATTTTAGAAAAGTGCAATCGTTAATGCCTGCTGTTTTATAATACTCAAACTTCTCAGTCAATTAAAACTTTATTAGCGTAAACCTAAAGAAGTAAGGCTATAAAGAATTTCTAATTTTAGTTAATCCAAAATAAATCTGTTAGTACACATATTGTTGTGTGTGTGTGTGTGTGATGACTTAACATTTTCTTTGTCAAACAACACGCAAAAGGCACGAGGGTAACCCTCACTGTCTGCTCTCACAGCAACAACTATTCAATTCTATTGATAAGTCTCTCTATGACAAATGTCTCTACTGCTACATTTTGATATATAGTGTAATTTCCACCACCAGTTTCCTTTCAAACAAGTTAAACCTAAAGTGCTTGTGAGTCAGAGAATCTCAGTTTGGGGAAAAAATCAGGTCAAGCATATCAGCAACACACAAACAAAACATTCAGTATGTCACAAATCTGAATCCTCTACACCAAAATATGTAACAGATTATTTGAAGCATTATTAGCATTGTTGGTCTTAAAGTGGCCACATTTAAATTTCAGTCATATTTTCACTCAAGCAACAGAACATCATGTAAATGGCAATAAAATACCATTTCCATCTGACTCCAACAGTGGTCAACTCAATTTATGGGCAGATGGTATTTAAGCTGCTCGTTATTAGTCTGCTTTGGAAAAGAGATCTGGACCCCAACAGATCCCCACAACAGATCACTAGATTAATATACCTACAAAGTTTAGTCCAAGCTAGAGAGCATCATGCTTTAGTACAGTAATTGCAATACTGAGAAAACACAAAACTGTTACTCTTTCTATAACCTTTTGCCTTCTATAACCTTGATCACATGATCAAATTAGAGCCTAGTCAACCAAAATATGTCATATCAGTGGGTTAGTAGTTTAGCAAGATGCCATCTACTTTGCTTTACTCTTAAAAGCATGTACATTATACAGTCTTCATCACATTATTGAGATAAAACTACTGGATTGCTTTGATGTTTGAATAGAGAATGATCCATCTTTTGTCACCTAAGGGACACAAATCATGGATTATGTTTGATTTTGTAAATCGGCATTTGAAAGAATTGAGATTTGGCACAAATCTTTTTTGGATTAGCAATTTAGAGTACAGTTATTTATTTCTTCACTCTATCTGCTGGTATGTGATCTCATGGAGAGACTGCATCTAGTCTCCTTGTAACCGTAGCTCACAAGACAGCTACTCTGAACTTTTTTGTTTTGAGTCTGTTCTCAGAGGTTGTTTGCTCTAAGGCCTTGCGACCTTATGTTTAGAGTATGTTCTGCTGGACAACTGTGTCTATATGTGGTACATGTGTTAAAATTGATGATAATGGATGCAGAACATGAATCAGATGATGTATTAACCAATTCACAGAGGGCTTTTTTGTGCTTTGAATTCAAATTACAGGCAAGATAAAAACTTGGTCTCTATGTTATGTTAAAGAATATGAGAAAACTCAATTTGCATTGCAGCTTTAGCCTACTTGAACATTACATTATTATTTCATAACGGCTAGCTAGTGAACATTCAGTTTTCTGCCAAAGCCTTGCAGATGCAATCAAAAATGTTCAATAGATTCAGGACCAAAGCTTATATAATAAAGTCCTTTGACAGCACTAAGATTTTGTTGCATTTTTGAGGATTAGAATACAAACTATAAATGGCAGCGGATGGATGGTTGTGGGTGGAGCAACTCATCTAAACCTAAAATATTAGAAATGAATGAGGAACGAATGAAAAGCTCTAAATAGAAAACCAATTCAAAATTCTATTTTGCAGGCTTGGAAAGATTCATCCTGCATAACCACTGTGCTGCTGCTGGCCAAGACCATTATATTCAGGTCCTGCTGTTTCTCATGGGTCTGCTGATACCAGTTCCGAGTTACCTCTGTGTCATGTGTTGGTATTAAAGTGACCTAAATGAGAAGAAGATGGTCAGATAAAGTGCAGTATTCTGCTTGCAAATAAGACCTTAGGACATGAGTTTTCAATCCTTACATTAAACAAGGATTGAATTAATATATTGAGTGCACTTTAACTTTGACAGCCCAGGGGAAAAAAATGTAATTTGTAATTTTTTTTGCATATTCCATAGTACCCCCTTGTGTCCCTACAGTAGACCCCAGTTTGAAAACCCCTGTTCTAGGGGATTACTACAACAAACATACAAACTCATCCATATACTTAATTTTAGTGTAAAGTCAAATCATACCTGGAGATTAGTGCCCCATTGTGCTTTCCCTTCTAGGAGTGCATCTAGAACTGCACGGCTGGGTTCACCACTGCCTGGGTCATTTCCACTGACGACATAGTATGCTGCTCGCACTCGCTTGAAGAACTCTTGATCGACATTTTTAGCACTGCAGTGGTTGGGAATGTAAGCTAGGTCGACGTAGATGGGTGATCCAGGTGGAGTTCCAGCGCTGGATTTCAGGTTGGAGCCTAAAAGAATATACCATTGGTTATTTGCATGTGTGGTTCAGTGAAGAACCATTGCTGTACAGTTGAGATATTTGTCTGGCTTATACTGATATACAGTATTTCTTCCATGTTATGGTTGATTGCCAATAAATAGACAACATTTAAAAATCTGTACTAGTTTGTCTAAATAAATTAATAACAAAGCACTAAAAACAAAAATCTGTTATTTTAAATGCTACGAGTGACTTTAGGTATCACAACATTATAATGTACAGTATGAAAAAATTATGTTCATTTTACTTTTAACAGCAAAGATTACTTTTAACAGTATTAAATTTTGTTTGAAGAATTAATTTAAGTGAGTGTTACATGACAGTGAAGATAATCTAAATGTAAATAAAGGTAAATTAGCATGCGCAATTAAATATCCAATATTGGCTGATAAATTATTAAAATCTGTAATATCACTCAAAAACCAATATGGTACTAATGTGTCATGCATCCCCGATGTTTGTACCTGCATTACTCTTAACGCCATTGACCAATCCTCTTCCTGGGTTGTAGATGTCTCCCCTGGATCCCTGTGTCTCAGACATTTTGGACAAACGAAAAGTCTTCTCTGAATCTTTTCTTTTAAGATCATGAGGTGAGGAGTCTTTGGATGTCTGCTTCACAGGGGTAGTAGATCTCCTGCTTTTTGCATCTCCCTTACGTGCCGGCGATGCAGACTTTCCTAGTGTCTTCCTCAAGCCTCTATTTGTTTTAAGGTCCTTCTTCATTGGTCTTTCTGTGTGGGTCTGGCCATTAAGAAGGGCTTCTGGGTCCACCATGCACACATCAGGGTGTGGTGGGTGAGGAAGAGGGTCTTTCATTGGGATGGGAGGGGGATCGTGACTCCTCGGGGAGGAGGAATGATGACTTCCTCCGTTGCCGCCAGCTGCAGACATTTTGTCCACAGGTAGATGTTCTGCATCTTCATCAGAATCAAGGTTCCCTTCTGCTGTAATTGAAGGACATTCCTCAGTCTCTGGAGGAACATCGGAGTCAGACTGAGATGGGACTGACTCGCTCAAAGATGTAGGAGGAGTTTCCTCCCCTGCTAGCATAATGCCATGCCCAGTCGCTGTACCACTCTGAATGCTGTGCGATCCCTCCTTACCATCTTCATGGTGACTGTGGGGATGACGATGCTGCTGCTTGTGAGATCTCCTTTTGACAGAGTGTTGCTCACGATCATCACCATCATCATCCCTTGAATGATCGCTTCTGGCATCTTCCTCTCCGTCCTCACTTGATAGTTCCTGTGGACTTGGATTTATAAAGGATGGAGAGATATCTCCTTTGCGGTGTTTGAAGAGCGAAGGTGAATGTGAGGACATGGCCTCCATACCGAGATCAGAGGGTCGAGTTAATCCCTCATCGGACTTCTTAGAGACCTCAGGGTAACAAGCCCGTGCTCCTGATAGTGGAGTGGGTGGACGTTCTTTTGAATCATACTTCTCTTCCTCCTCTTCACCCCCCTTTTCCTCCTTTATACCCTCATAAACATCTTCCCCATAGCCAGGTGGAGCCTTCAGACATTCAAAATCCTCATGCTGTATAGTGGATGCAAGGGCACTATGCTGGCTAGACTCAACTGTATCTGTTTTTTTGCTGTCTTTTTCCATCACTTCTTCTTCTGTTTGCTCTTTCTTCTCTTCCATTTTTTCTTTACATTCCTTTTCTACAATTCTTTCAATTTGTTCTACCTCTTTCTTTGTTTTTGACTGCTCTGTTTTCCCTTCACTATCGCTCTGCTGCTCTGACTTCTTGCCATTATCTAGGCTCTCTCCCATCTTTTCTGACCTCACTTCGACCATCTTTTCATCTTTTTGTTGTATCTGTTCTTCCTCAATTGTTTTATGTTGCACTCCCTCTTTCTCATCTGTCTCACGCTTCTCTTCATATTCCATCTTGCTCACTTTTGCTCCTTTCATTTCAACCCTCTCCTGTACTTTTTCAGGCAAGTCTATAATTTCCTTAGACTTCTCTGCCTCTTCTTGCTTCATACTTTGTTCACTTTGTGTGTTAGTACTGAGAGTCCCACATGTTGTGACTGGCACCTTCTGAGAACTTGTCATTTCTGTTGGCCCATCTATGGTTTGCAGATCAAATGAATGTAATATTGTTGTTGAGGGTTTTACATCAGCATGTTGCTCTGGTAAAGATGCTGTGCTTAATTTTTCAGTAGCTGAAGATCTTTCACATTCAATTCTGCATGGCAAGGTTCCCTCCTCAAAAATGCTTTTGTTGTCCTCAGGCTCATCATCAGAGGATTTTTCCCGTGACTGTTTGTCTGCAGAGTCAGCCTTCTCCAAAGGTGCAATGTCAAACTTGAGAGATGTCGCAGATGCCACCACAATTGGATGAGTTGCATGCTCAGAAGTTGCTGATTCTGGTGATTTTGAGGAATGTGCCTCTGTTACATGTTTAGGATGAGAGACATGATCCCTGTCAGATTTAATGCTTGACATATCCTCCTCTGACTTTTCCTCTGCTGATGATGTTTGATCTTGAAGAAACGATTTGGATTCCTCCAAGGGACTGAGAGGAGAAAACCTGGCAAGACACGATATTGATTCAGCTGTAGTTGTAGCAGGTGTCATTCGGTCTGTGACTTCCATGTATTCATCTTTTTTTAAACATGGTAAATCCATAATGGGCGATTCTTCCTCTTTTAGCGATGAGTACTCATATGATATACTGTCTCCATCTGATCTTAGTTGGACACTAGGAATATTAATCAGTGTTTCTAGGCATTCTCCAAGGTGTTGACCCGTTGAATATGAGGCAGATGTTGAAGAAGAGTAACTAAAGGATGAAGATGATGAGTAAGTTGCATCAGACATGGCTGATTGAGCAACAGCTTGGGATTCAGTCAATTCATGCTTTTTATCAGATGTTTTCTGTGGTTCATGTTTGTCATCGCTGGGTTTGGGTATGTCATATTGGACTGAACAAGTATCTTGTTTCTTGGACTGTTCATCCTCCATGCTGATTACATCCTTGTGCTCTCCAGGTACTGATAAAGGCTCTGTTGTGGGGGACTTTTTTGAGGATGAATCACCAATTGTTTCTGTCTGTAGATCTTCTGCAGTTGCTCCAGATGCTAAGTGACCAGAAGTATCTTCTTGTTTTGTTTCGAGTGGTTTAGATGCAGTCATGGTATCAAATGCTACTTTGGACTCTTTCTCAGACATCTCTCTGGCACCCTTTTCAATATCCAAGTCACTTGCATCTTCCTCTTCCTCATCCTCATAGTCATCCTCTTCTTCTGCAAATATTTTTTGGCTTCTGAC